TTTTTAAATATAGGCATTAAGTTCAGAACTAGCCCAAGCCAGAGATGAAACCAAGAAAACACAAAATGATGTTCTTCATGCTGAGAATGTTAAAGCAGGCCGTGATAAGTACAAGACCCTGCGACAGATCCGACAAGGCAACACAAAGCAGCGTATTGATGAGTTTGAAGCAATGTGAGAGCTGTTATTTTGCATACATGTTCTTCATAAGCTGAACCACCAACAGAGAAAAGCAGGCCTTTGCAGATGTGATGGAATGCATCCCACCTTGCCAAAGCACTTATGTCAGTTTGACTGTGGTGGCTAAAAGACAAATATAAGGGGAGCTCTTCAACATTAAGGCAGTGTGATGTCATGCTTGATTTTCATTTTCTTTTGGGTCAGGGAATGGAGAACGGTGTTCCATCACCTCCCTTCACATTTTTCACTTTCCATTTTTTTTTCTGTTGAAGCTTAACATTAATGATCATGTCTGACAAATGTGTTTGTTTGATTTGAGCACTTTGTACATTTTAAAGGATAATGGTGACATTTTAATGAGTGTTTTCCTTGCCCCTTCCATGTTTAACCTACATATGTGTCCACATTCTCTCTCACTTAGCATTTCTCAGTGTGCCCTTCTCATATCCTGCCATGCCCACAGCCATAATTCTGCCATCATAGAAATCAAGCAGTGTTTAAAATGATGGTAGGTAGCAGAGTGGATAGTCTTTGATCATTGTGTAGAAGATGGCTATGAATCATGAAAGAGATTAGAACATTTAATAGTATAGTATACAGTTGGTGGTTAAGTTTTTTAAATCCTAATTTAATTCCATTATTGGATATTTGATACTTGCTTACTTAACTGCAGTCATCTTTGACAGCTAAATTGATTGGCGTTTCATCTCCTATAATCCTATGGTGGTTTTCTTTGCTTGCCGATCCAGAGGTGTAGACAGCAGGTTCCCTAGGAGAGTTTATTGATAAAACAGTCTCTGAAAGATTTTTAAAAGTTTTGCTCTTTCATAGATTGATTTAGAAAAACAAACGATTAGTAAAAGAAAGTGTACATTTGTTGGTAATTGCTTTTAATGATTTTAAAAAACCTGGACCTTTCTGGAATGGTGGCATATGAAAACAGCAGCCCCAAGAAGGGGACAGTAATGTAATACTACCTCACTACCACACCTGCGATGACTGGTTGTTAAAACACAATGGAGTGTGTAAGCTCTGTTTTATAATTCATAGTGATAGTCTCGATCATTTAGGAATACTTTCGAAATTTCATTTTCCTTCAGAATACCCTAGAGTGCTAAATTTTTAACTGCCTTTTTGTTGAGTCAAACTGTGGGGCTCTGATTTGTATTAAAATTGTAAGCTCTCACTGATATACTATCTTCCTGGAGGGGTGTCGTATGGCTGAGGAAGACAGAGAGAGAGAGAGAGAGAGAGAGAGAGAGTGTGTGTGTGTGTGTGTGTGTGTGTGTGTTAGAGAGATGTTATCCTTGTAGCATATGAAGGTTGTCTATACCTTCATTTCTTGATATGATAGTTACGTAATCATTTTAGTGTATTTGGTTTCTAAATCACTGTGCTTATTTTTTTTTTCAATCTCTAAATAAAAATACTTAAATTTGGTTTGTAAATCCTATTTTAGAAATTATAATTTTAGTTTACATTAATTTCAATTAAATCTTACTGAAGAAATCTTTCCAGTTAGAAAGATGTTCTAATATTCATATGTTCTAACATTTTCTTTGTTGTAAAACACCTAGATTTGAAGATACAGAAAGCCTTGTTTTCTCTGTGTGGTTCAGCTACTTTCCATTTGGTATTATGCATTCAAATTTACATTTATCTATTAAAATTGCCATTTTATTAAAAATTTTTCATGCACAGTAGATTCAAGTTGTGTCTGAAAATATCTCTTGTGCTTTTTTGATTTTGCTGACTTTAAAAGGATTAATCTGGGCAGACATTATACAAAGGAAAGTTTGCATTTAATATATTTTTTGAACTTTGTAGGACAAAAGATAACTGGTTAACCTTGAAGTGACTGTTGTACTGTGGTTGTGCACATGCTTCAAATCCCTGTGGAAGAGAATGTTTCTACTTGTACATCAGAGGACTAGATGGTGGACCCCTACTAGTCATACTTTGAAACATAAGTGTTCACCTTAAAGCAATTGCCATAATAAGTGAAAATCTGGATTTCCACTGAATTTTTATTCATTTTCCTCATTTTGAGTCGTGTGTACTACCATTGCTACATCAGTTTGATACAGTGTTGAAAAATTACCAGTTATATTTGCTGTTTATAAATCTATTTGTAGATTAGGATTAAAATGGATTTAATCCATTTTTAAAGCTGTGTGAATTTTTCTAAACAATAACCACCATTTGCAATATGGGTCTTCATAGGGATTTAACCAATTATAACTTTTATC